AAAAAAAGAAAGAAAGAAGACAGTCAGGGTGGAGAGAAAGGAGGCGGGGTAGAGAGAAAGGAAGGAGAAGGGTGGCGACGTAAGTGAGGCCGGCAGCCATAGCTGACCAGAAGAGTTGACCGGAAGGGTTGACCAGGCGTTGACCGGGCGTTGATCGGGCGTGACCGAGAGTTGACCGGAGGTGCTGACCAGCGTTGACCAGGGTTGATCGGGGGTTGATGCAGCATTGACCGGGGGTTGATGCAGCGTTGACCGAGCGTTGACCAAGGCGTTGACCAAGACTGTTGACCATGATTTTGACCAAGCTGGAACCGGTATAATCTCGCCAAGCCTTCAGCCTACCCCTCGCCCTATGGATGTGCACACACCTTGTGGTACTTGCTGAGTCAAGTCTGTCTGCCTCTTCTTTCTGCATTGAGTCTCTTCTGTCTAGGTGTAGGAACTCTGTGGATGAAGGATAGGGCCTCGTTAACCAAACCCCTGCCGGACTAAGTAGGGCTAAAGACTGTGTCTGACGAATCGACTGTCCCGGAGGACACGAACCCTCCCAAGGACTGGTACAGACCGGCGGGCTGCTCGGTGTGGCACGATAGGCCTAAAAAGCTGAGCTGTGGGCTGCACAACAGGCAGTCTAAGTGTTCAGAGACCTGCTGATCAGGTCGTCCTATCTGCGACGTTAAATAATTCCAGGTCTAGTAGTGACAGCCTAGGTCTAGGCTAGAGACCATAGTTGACAGGATCCTGTCCGGATTCTGTAAGTCTTAGATTGAGTCAATCAGCGTGTCAGTCAGGGGGAGCAGAGTCTAAGTGGTGAGGAGTGGAACCGTTGTCTGGTTGTGCAATCACCATGGTTGACACCCGTAGTGGGAAGAGTACTGCCCCCGCTGAGGCCGAGAAGGCCCGGATTTCCGCCATCCTGAAGGAGAGGCGAGAGAAGAGAGAGCTCCTTAAGCAGGCGAAGTTAAAGGCCATTGAGGAGGAGCAGGCGGCAAAGAAGAAGAGATTGGAGGAGGAGATGTTGCGGTTCCAGAAAATGAAGATGATGATGATAGAGAGGGAGGAAGAAGAGAAAAGGAAGGCTGCAGAAGAGGAAGCAGCAGCAGGGGAAGAGGAAGAAGAAGAAGAAGAGCCCCTTGAAAGAAGACGCAGGGAAGAGAGAAGGGAGACAAGTGGCACAAAGGGAGAGGACGCGTGGATGGAGAAGAAGATAACAGAGTGGGTGGCTAACTTATCGCTAGGGGAGGATGAGGCGGCACAGCTATATGTGCCGCAAGAGGAGAAGGAAGCGTTTGCCAGGGAATTGGAGACGATAGAAGATCCCGTGGAACGCCAGACGACAGAGGACGAGAAAAAGTTGGGAGTGGAAACCGAGAATGATGAGGGAGAAGAAGAGGAGGAGAGAGGTGGCCAATAGGGTGGCGAAAGAAGTTGAGAAGATTCAAGCCTGTAGAGAGGAGGTGCAGGCACAAGTTGAGGTCCCCGCCAAATTAGATAAGATCCTGGGGTACCTAGAAGTCTTGAGCAAGGCCTGGGTAGAGGAACATCAGGCCGTCAAGGGTCAAGATGTGACCCTGCACGCCATCCGATCTGGGCTGAGGGAGTTTGCGCACGACGTGGTGACTCACGTCGGGACTGAGGTAAAAAAGATGAAGGAAAGCTCACAGCAGTTCTGTGCTGGCGCCATTGAGGGCGCCAAAGTAGTGGCTGCGGCAGAAGCCGAAGCACGTCCCCGCAAGGACCCAGTAAAGCTCAAATTTCCTGACGCATACAGCGGGAAGAAGGAGGAGAATTTTGACAACTGGGAGGCTAGTGTTAATAGCTATGTGTACCTACAACACATCTTGTCTGAGGAACAAGTCCTCGTAGCCTTCCAGGCCCTGAAAGATGAAGCAGCCAGTTTTGCTAGGTCCCTCACGCGCGCAACCGATTGTGAAAACAACATCGTTGCATACTCAAAGACCACCTCACTTCCCTTTCACAATCGTTGCATACTCAAAGACCACCTCACTTCCCCAGTTCCTCAAACTCTTGAGAGAGCGATTTGCTGATCCCGCGAGAGGCGTCAGGGCCTTTGATAAGCTTCAAACCATTCACTCGAGGCAGTGGAGGAGTGCGAAAGCACTCTAAGCTGTCATGGACGACTTGGTGGCCGTCCCGGACCATGGGGTCACATAGACCCAATTGGTCCAGTTATTTTATCATGCCATGCCAGAGCCCCTGAGAGGGCACTTTTTCGACAAGACCCAACAGCGCAACATCACGTACGATTTGTTGAGTAGGGAAGTGGTCTTGTTTGAGGCCAAGTGTCTGCCAGTTTCCACTTTCTGGCACAAAGACTTAGACAAGGGCAAAAAGTGGAAAGGCCGCACCATCTCAGGCCAGGTTAGGGCCAAGGATCATTTGATCCTTACTTTGGACGAAGGTGGTACTGACGAGGTCCCATATAGTCAGATTGAGTGGGGCTTGACGAGGACGACAGTAGCTTAGGACAGGGGAGGTCTTATGCTGTTGTCGCGGCTGGAGGGAGGCCGCAAGGCAGAGGAGGAGGCCAGGGTCAAAGGCGCCAGGCCATGGGAGGCCGAGGATCGGGCGCACAGGGGGTTGGTGGTCCAGGGAACCGCCAAGCGGGAGGTAGGGGTCAAGGTCCCCCGCCAAATCGCCAAGGTCCCAGTCGGTCCCCACAGCGACGAGGTGGCAGGTCACCTTAGAGGTCAGGAGGTTGGCACCTGGGTTGGCCACAAGGCCGACCTTGGGAAGATTTGGGCCTAGAGCAAAGAGTGTGGCAACAGCGGATGGAGCAGGGGCAATGCATTTACTGCGGTGACCCTGCCCATATTATCAAATACTGCCGTAAGTATGGACAGGCCCGTTGGGCTGCCCAGGAATCAAAAGGCAGCCGCCGGTAGGGGTCGCAACCTGTGTATT